CTTTTCGTTTTCTCTTTCCATCTGTGGCTCCTCCCCAGCCGCCGGCGCCTCTCAACTATCCCATGTACAAAGGCTGCATCGAGATGTCCTACTTGAACGACAGAGTTGTCAGCTTGTATCATTTCCTGCGCAAAGACAACATCAACGTCGAGTCTCCATGCAAGAGGTTGGTCCCTGTTTGTGTACAACTTCCTCCTATCTCACAATTTGGTAAATTAGCTATTTTTTCCACACGATTGCATGGTTTTAACCAATTGAAAGTGATGAAAATGGCTTGCGCTCTTTGCCAATGTGATGTTAATACATGCCGTTTTGGGGGTCTCCTCAAAAGTGATCATTTTGGACGTACGAGAATTTCGCCTGACGCGAGTGATATACAAAGTTCAATTTTAAGATTTGGTTTGATTTTCGCCTTTGGTTTGGTTCCAGGTCTAACTGCCACCACCACCACCACCATTATAATACTTTTATAAACTTCAGTATAAAGACGTTTTTTTTTTGCGGTTTTTTGCATTTAGCATTGTGTAAAACGGATTTAACCACTGGCCAGAGTAGCACGTACACACAATAAACATTTTGTCTTCACGTTATGTAATTTTAAAGAAGCCATTCTCTCAATTGTACACAAGATTATTTTATTTTATGTTTGACATTTCCAATACTTTTTAATGAACATACACATATTGGCAAAAATCAAATGCTCCATATTTTACTGGCATTTTTTCAATTTAGAAAAAGTAATGACATATTGGCGATGTCCCCACAAAAAATCAAATGCTCCACATTTTACTGGCATTTTTTCAATTTAGAAAAAGTAATAAAAATATTTTTGCTTTTAGTTGATAGAATTCCATGACATGTAAAATGCAGAATAATACATTTGTATTATTATTATTATTGTTATTATTATTATCACTAGTAGTACTAGTCGTACATACGTTAATTTTATTGTCTATACAACAAACAGGGTTGATTAATCCGAGGACATTTCTAATTTCCAATATCTTGGTCGGAATCCACATATTGCTCATGTTCAAATTTCAGTGTCATTTTTTAAATTAAAAGGGAACCAAAACCTTTTTTTTTCCACTTTTAATCTCCGATTAATTAAAAAAAACTAAATAAATAAAAAATGCGGATTGCTTTCTTGTGCACAGGTATGTTTCTCCAGTGGGCTTTTACTGCGAGGGCACCGGGTATGGCCGCGTGAATATCGACAAGAGCGCAGCATTACTCCTCATCGGCATGTCCATCCTGACACATTCAGAAAATGGGCTGCTCTTGTACATTGGAAGCGAGGTAAGGTGCCACACTTTTTTTTTCTCTTCTTCTATCTACATGGCCGAAAAAGATTTTGATACAGCCTTACAATATGAGCTTCAAAACTTCAGAATATTATGAGTATTATATTTATGATTTGCGAACCACGTGATTAGAATTTTCATGGGGGTGACAGAAAATGACCTCCAATGTTGGAATGACCCCCAACCTTCTCCTTTCTTCCCCGCCAAAGGACAATTACTTCACCGTGACAATGGAGAAGGGTGTTGTCCACCTGCGGAGCAACTTGCTATCACAGCCTGCCACAAATAACGTGAAAACATTCCCGGTAAGGCAAAGCTTCGTTACTTGCCGACATTGTCATTATAATAGTTAGTGACGTACTTTTTTTTTTCATGTTTTATTTTCCAGAAACCCGACTGGGTGGACATACTCATCATTATAACCAACAAGGGGAAGTTTACAGTCCGCATAGCCAATAAAGAGGTGGCCACGGCCCAAGCCCAGTTCACCACCGTTGATTTTAAAGATTATTATATTGGCGGTGCGCCCCTAGAAATGCGGGAAAAGTACGTACATCCGATTCTTGCTTCTCGCTACATGGAAGTGAACTTGGCGTCAAGCTAACTCGGCTTTCTGCTGACAGGCATAACATCACCATGCAAGCCTTCAAAGGCTGCTTGAACAACGTGAAGCTCAACCATAACTTCCGACCCATCGACGAGAAAGTGGGCATCAGCAAAGGTTGTCCCAAAGATTCCTTGGTAAGCCACTTTGGATTTAAACCTCAAGGACCACATTTTAATACAGTTTTTTTAATATAACATGGCATGTGAAATATGTAAAATAAGATCCACGAATAGAAACAAAAACACCTAATAAATACATGTAAAGTTTGTAAAAATTATTTGAATCAATCACCCTGATTTTGATGCTTATTTTTGATTATTAGGTTGATTGTATATGGAGGAATTATTTTACGTGAACCAATTCTTGAAAGTGTGAGATCAATAATAAATAATACATTTCAAATTTTGCTGCATGTTTTGAATCGGACAAACTGCACCATCTGGTGGATTAATATAAAAATACAAAATTGAAAGTCAGTACAGTACAGGGGATTTTTGCTTTACCAAGTTAAGTTCCCACCACTTAATGCAGCGAAGTTTACGACAAAGCGACAATCACGCACAAGTCATGTAACAATTGCATATTTTGAGTACGGTAATCTATGCCATCAATATACAACAAACCGTTTAAAAACAGGCGATACGCGATTGTGTCTTCATGTGCTGCGTAAAGACATATCATTTCTGTAACAAGGTACAAAAACAAAGCGGCATGCTTCGACTGAGAAAAATCAGTGTGTATATAATCGAAATGCCCAAAAGACTTGACATAAATAAGCCCGTGTGGAATAAAATGATAAATTGTATGCTTGGTATTGTCTTTTACTGAATTCTGTGTGCTGATCACTGGGCGGGCTCGTTCTCGTGCAGACTTCTCGCAAAGCGGAGTTCAACCCGGGAAGCTACCTGTCGGCGGATCTGTCGGACTTCAGCCTGGCCAACGACGTCGCGGTCTCGCTGGGCTTCATGAGCACCGACAACGACGGCATCCTCCTGCAATCGAAAAAAGCCGTCAGTCGCTGAAATCGGAATCAAGATGTCACATTGCCTTCAAATCGGTCATTCACAATTTGTTCTTTCCCTCCTTTTCGTTCATCCAGTCAAACGGCATCCATCTGGCTTTAGAAAACGGCAACGTGATTGTATCTTTTAACAACAAGCAGTGGATTTCCAACAAGAAATACAACGATGGCCACTGGCATTATGTGACTGTGTACAGAAAAGCTGGCAGGTATGAAATATAAGATAAGATAAGATAAGAAAACCTTTATTAGTCTCGCAATGGAGAAATTCCCAATTCACAGCAGCAAAGTTATGAATGGAAGAAGTAGAACAACAAAATATAGGAGCTGCTGGAAAGGCAGCCACTCACGCGGCGCCATCTTGAAGTCAAAATCACAAAAATAACACAACACAACACATAGGACACAGATAGTCGTGCAATCTTCACCACTTTCCTGCATACACTTTGTTGTTATGAAGTTAATCCACAGCAGTTTGGAAGTTTATTGTAAAAATAGAAGCGGCCCGGTGGTCCAGTGCGTCGACCTCATAGTGCAGAGGTCATGGGTTCCATCCCGGCTCCGGCTCCCCTGTGTGGAGTTTGCATGTTCTCCCCGGGCCTGCGTGGGTTTTCTTCGGATACTCCGGTTTCCTCCCACATTCCAAAAACATTCATGGCAGGCTGATTGAACACTCTAAATTGTCCCGAGGTGTGAGTGTGAGCGCGGATGGTTGTTCGTCTGTGTGTGCCCTGTGATTGGCTAGCAACCATTTCAGGGTGTCCTCTGACTCCAGCACCCTCCGCGACGCTTGTGAGGATAAAGCAGATCGGAAAATGGATGGATGGATAAAATAACTCCTTAAAATTGCAGATTATTTCATTTTTGGGGGGGGGGGGGTGCACCTAAAGTGTGCGTGTAGATACGGTGGTGACTCTCTCTGGTACTGCTTTTCAAAAAGAAAAGTGACTAAAGCAGAAAAGTTCAAATCCAAAATTTAACCAATAAAGCAAAAAAAGAAAAAGTAGTACTGTATTACTTTTGTATTATAGATTTGGCGACCTCTAGTGGCATTTTCGGAAAGAGCAAAAAAAATTGGCAAGTGTTTTTCATGAATAATTTAACCGTCATTTACTCCTTGAAATTTATAACGTTCTTTTCATGACACACAAGTGTGATTGGGTAAGACCAGTAGACAATCAATGTACTTAAAAAATATATCCGGATCCAGATGATTATATTTTGTGCAACCACCTGACGAAATAAAATTGAGTAAATTCAAGACACCATTTTTTTTTTTTTTACAGCGTAGGTGTCCTGCTTTGACACGCTAAATCGAAGCTAACCCACATTAAAGGGTGTTTTGATCGCTCCTCACAGATTGGAGATGCTGATTGATGACGACGACAACGGCGTGGAGAAGAGCGGAAGCGTCTCTGTGCCCGACTCAGGGGGCTCCGTGATTTTGGGACGAGACAAGTTCAAAGGCTGCATCTCCAACCTCTACACCAGACGGTGATTGCCGTTGGCGAGTCGCGTCGGCTGTGCCCCGTTGCGTGTTTTTAACGGCGTGTTTCTTTTTATACCCACAGGCCCAGCCATCGGTACAAGCCTGAGGACTTCACCGACTTCAAGTCGTCCGGAGACGTCCTGGTGGACGTGTGCACCCCCGACAGTCCTGTCCAACAGATGCTCTCTCATATGCCCAAAAAGGTGAGCGTTGCTCTTGCGCTCTGTCAACTTGCATTTCTACACAAATATCGATTCACAAAGCTTGTGGCTTTGCAAATCGAACTGTAAAAATTGTAAATATTGAACAGGTTCAACTTTTACGATTGTCAGGGAGAAGGATATTAGTTTGGAGCTTAAATCGAAGAAAGTGCTAAAATTCACCTCAGTTATCGGTTCACCAACATGAAATTTGGGAGGCATATCAGTCTTGAAAAAAGAGTGGAATGCATTGCGCTCATTAGTCCGAAACTAAATGATATAATAACGGAATTCTTGTGCGCATTTTGGCCAAGATGGTAGGAGTGGAATGTCTGAAAATGAAAGCAGATGAGTTAAGTCAACAACAGTGAGTCAATATGCACCAAAAATCCATAATAGCATTTTAAGAAGTTTCTGTGTGAACCTTCGTTTATCGCAGAGTATACGTACGTTCCAGAGCCACCGACCCACCCCTACCACATGCTTTAAGCACATTCTAAACAAATTTAAGGACCCTCGCCCAAAACTAATTGCAATTACAAAATGTATCAAAAATCGTGTACATGAATGTTTCGGGACTGAACCCTGCTGCCAATAGTGAAAATCCGTCCCCTAGAAAAAGTGTGTAATTGCTTACGGAGGACATGTACTACTTTTGTCTCAATGAAACTCTTTCATTGGAACCAAGAAGCCACTGGAAAATGCTAAAGCCTGATCTAAAAAAGAAAAAAACAGCAAATAGTTGAGTTTTCAGTTAATACCCATGGATAGATTTCCCTCAAAATCAATCAGTTCTACATGTGAGCGACTGGGTGTGAGCTGTGGCTCACAGCAGCTCCTGCATGAGCGTGCTCATTGTCTAGATTTAGTATTTTCTTGTTTTAATTTTCCTGGCCATCATTTTTATGGCAGCCATTTTCGGCAGCACACATCAACACCAGCATTTGCGCCGTCGAGTTGCGCATAACGGGCAAAATTCCTGTTCTATTGGGCCCATCCCAGGTGCTTACGGCTGTCGAAATGTCTGCCTTGATGTGGGTGGCTCACAGCTGCTCCTCCATGAGCGTGCTCATTGTCTATATTTAGTATTTTCTTGTTTTAATTTTCCTGGCCATGATTTTTATGGCAGCCATTTTCAGCAGCACACATCAACACCAGCGTTTGCGCCGTCGAGTTGCGCATAATGGGCAAAATTCCTGTTCTTTTGGGCCCATCCCTGGTGCTTACGGCTGTCGAAATGTCTGCCTTGATGTGTTTGACTGACTTTGTTTTGCTGCCTTATTTCCAGAGATGAACGAGAAGGAGGAGCCAAAAGACCTGCTGACAAGAGTCTAACCCTAACATTGTACCACACTTCTTCCCTTTGTTGTCATTCATTTAATAAAAGCAACACATTGCATGAACCTATGGATCTTCATAACTCATTCCTAATATAATAAATATTCAACGTGATGTTTTATTTTTATTTTTTCAGATGTTCCTATGCCTAAACGACACTTATAAATAACAAGCCTGACTGAAATCATCTCATTGTCTCTTTCTTCCATGTTAACAGTAACATACAAGTACTCCATCAATGCAAATCATTTACTAGTTCGATTATAAGTATGAGTGCAGATATTAACATGGTTCACGTGCCTGACTTGTGCAGGTAGTTTGGGTTCAATTACCTCTTAGTGATGACAAGATTGGGGTATTGAAAATGGATGGATGAATATGAAGTAAACGATTGAGTTTCTCATATCATAACTCCTCATCACCCTCATGTGACCATAACCCAATTTTTATTTGTATTTTTTTCTGGGCACACAAGCCCCCCCCCCACCCCCACCCCCCAATATAAATTATCAAATATTTTCAGAATCTGCATCATCCTAAAAAATAAAAATGTTTCGAAGCATTTACGTTTTGATTAAGTAACAATATATGACAGGCTTGCTAGTAATGTTCAGATAGGGTTCAGATATTTTGCTTATAAATGCTTTTGAATCCCAAGCGGGTAAAGATATCCGATTTCAGTGTGTCTTCTTGACCCACATGGATTGAACTGCGTAAACTTGACAGATATGATCCGTAATGGTGGATTAACATCGCAGATCATCGTGGTGTGAAACACGAGCTGCTATCTGCTGGAAATAACAAAAATAAACATTCCTGGGTTCCTTAAAGTCGATTCTTTTTGGGACTTCCAAGGCTGGAATATTATATTACCCGATGTTGTTCTCTTTGCATCATTTGCTTTGGACCTCCCATACAAAATAGAACATGAAAAGAAGTTAGAAGTTTGAAGCAGTTTTGCCATTTTTTTCGACTGGATTTAACACAGTCAAAGCAGGGATGAGATCACAATTGTTTATACATACAGCACACACACACACACACACACACACACACACGATACATATAGATAGATATATAGATATAGATAGATATATAGATAGATATAGACATTTATATTTGTTTCATATAACTAATCTTATACAACTAATATAACTATTAAAATTTTAAAAACGGTTAAAAAAGAGATGCAAGTGCAACTGAATTGAAACTTTCCACTTTAGAATATCAACAATAATCAACATACAGTATGAATCAAATCATCTTTTATTGGAGAGATGTATTTTTGAAGCGAATAGCACATTTACAGAATTAACAAATTCAAATGCATGGAAGAGGACATCAAAAAAGTCATTGCGTCACCCCCTCTCTCTCTCTGTGTATATATATATATATATATATATATATATATATACACACTGTATTACAAACACACTTTTTTTTTTACTTGATGTTCATCAATCCATCCATTTTGATGATTTAAATCAAAATACATATTTTTCAAGAGTCATACCCTAGACTTCAATATTTGGTGTTTGTTGTCGTGAAAATGTATAATACTACAGTATGTAAGATCACCTTGCAACCGTTGTACTGATTGCAGGACATCCCAGCAGGCCGCATTGACAGGAAAGCCGTTTGTCGATTTCTTAAAAGGGCCAGCTTTGATTGGAGTCTTTCTGCTTTTGTTGAAGGAGGCGGCGATGTCGCGTGTGATGAACGAGAGCGCGTCTCCGTGCACGTTACCGGGCCTGGTGGCAGACGCGTATCACATGGGGGGGCCCGTGAGCCGCTTGAGCTACAGCCTGCCGCTCCAGGTGCTGCAGCCCAGGTGAGTCCCTTGGCAATGAGATCTGAGGCAGCTGTGTTAAAATTGTTTTCATCTTTCATCACAGTTACAATAAGTGTGAGACACAGATTGTTCACAGTTGATGTGTGCATTGCGATTGCCTGGCAACCAATTCAGGGTGTGTCCCACCCACTGCCCGGAGTCGGCTGGGATAGGCTGCAGCACGCCCGCAACCCTTGTGACGATAAGCAGCTCAGATAATGGATGGGTCCCCTTCGGACCCAGAGCCCGTTTGGCAATTTTTGACCCAGCAGTCACTGTTCGTCATTCTTTCCCTCTAGGCCGCACTTCTCTCTGGACATCCGGACTCGATCCCCAGATGGCCTGTTGTTCTTCGCTGCAACCAGAGGAGGGAACTCTCACCTGGCTCTGTACATGTCCAAAGGGAGAATCAGACTGTCTGTGGATAAATACAATGAGATCTTGAACAGGGAGAAGTACAACGATGGAAAGTGGCATTCGGTGAGTGGACATCCAAAATGACGTTTTGAATCTTAATCAGAATAGCTTAGCCTTGTTATTACCCAGACACACCTGACGCTCCACTGCACAACAACGGGTCTCATGTGTACGTAAAATGTCATGACGTACTTCCTGCAGGTGATGTTCAGTTTGGAGAAGAAGAAATTCCGCCTTGTGGTGGATGGGATACGAGCGCAGGACGGTCAGCTGAGCGCGGCGGACGTGGCCTCCATGAAGTACTTCATGTCGCCTGTGTTCTTGGGCAGTGCCCCGGACTACCTCCACAAAGAGTTGAAGGTACAGAATAACATCAAGATTACACATTTCGAGTCAAATACTCTTGTTTTTGGTTTTGCACTTTTTGTTACTTGTAGTCCAAGAACCTCCCAAAGCAAAGCGTGTCCGGCTGCGTGCGCCAATTTAAAATGAACGGAGCGGCCATGCTGAATCCATCCGCAAACCACGGAGCCGGCCCCTGTTTCGAGGGCCACACTCAGAGGGGGGCCTACTTCTCGGGGAACGGAGCGCACGTCGTCATCAGTGAGAGCTCGCTAATCAGCCCTGTGTGATATGTCATCATGCAGTCCAAACTGCAATACATCTCAAATCAAGTCATACACTCACTCCATAGAATCTAATCAATCTGAATTCAAACAAAGAATCTCACTCAATTAGTTCACAGCTATCAAATCATGACTCCTTCTTTGGACTTCCAGATGACTCCTTCGCCGTGGGATCCAGTTTTGAGCTTCTGTTTAACGTTCGCCCAAGGACGCCAACTGGACTCCTGCTGCACGTTGGCGATTCTAGCGGCGCTCAACAAGCTCAACATTATGTCAGTATTTACCTGCTCAGAGGAGAGGTGAGGACGGACTGACAATACTGAGTACTTGGACAAAAAAAAAAAAAGGAAGATTTTTATCTTTTTAGTGCACCAGTCACAGCATGGGTACAGTATATGCTAGGACAGTGGTCCTTAACCTTTTTAGAGTTACCGAACCCAACCAGTTAATATGCACATTCACCGAACCCTTCATGAGTGAAAAATAAATATATATATTTTTTTACAAATTCAAGATATTAAAAAAAAAACACATTTATTAAAAACAGAAAAAAAGTAAATACAATTTCAAGAGATAAGTATACTTTTCTTTTTTTTTTTTTTAATTGACGTACTATCACAACAGTCACACGTTGCCTACTAAGCGAACTAATTTTCCCA